GGGGGGGGGGGGGGGGGTACGCCATAAATCCCCGGCTATTGACCGAACATTCCCCCAACGACGACGGGGCGTCTCAGTCCTCCAGGTAAGGCGCCACACGGGGATTCCCCGAGGAATAGAATCACAACAGAAGAAAAAAAATAAAATAAATACAACATGAATGAAATGGCAATGTTATTATTGCAGAATTAATCAGATATGTGTAATGCAAAAATGTACATTTTCAACTGTTGTCTAATCGGAATGATATGATATTGGAGAGATTCTATGATTGATTTGATCGGCTTTGTTATCGTACATCTCGGATCTTCAAAGGTTACGACGTCGATTGCGATTAATCGACGCTTTATTAGGAATTTTTCAACATTTTCAAGAGCCTCTGGCGGAAGTGGAACCTGATGATCTCGGGCACTTTGCTCTCTCCTTCTTACTGAAAATGACATATTCCTGAGAATATATATTAAGTATATAGAGCTACCATTCTAGTCTAGAGTAAAACCAAGCTCATTTATCGGAGGCACTGTTTCTGCGCTTCCTAAGATAAGTTTTATCAATATAATCTCTCGTAATCTGGCGATTTCAGTGGTGAATCGGTAACAATTGAGAGGAAAAATGATAATAGTTTTGATTTTTTTATATCATTACAGTATACGTCACAGGACAAAAATAGTCGAAATCGACTTTAACCGTTTTTCCGCCGATTCGCTACTGAATCAAATATTATTATTTCATATACGTGATCGTCTTTCCATAGGTTTAAAAAAAAAGAAAAAAATATTTCAAGTGTTTATTCGAGAACAATGACTATTATAGGAAAATTATTGTGTTTTAGTGTGGAAAGTTTCTTTTTTGTCCACAAGTAAATTGATTCAACACGAATATCTAAGTTTTCGGCAGAAGTAATTTTTTCTCTCACAATCAGTGCATGTAAAGAGAGACAGTCAGTCGACTGTATTTGCACATTGGACGCGCAAACACGTGCTCCTCCCTCCATTGGCCCCGAGAATCAGCAAGTTTTGTTGAGGTGGAGAGAGGAGAGGTGAGTAGATGGACTGGCTGCTTGCTGGCTTGCTGCTTCATCACTCGTTCAGTTTTAATTTACGCCTTAGAGCGATTGGTTCATGTACAGTATTATTATAGGATTTATTAGTTTAGCATTCAGTGTGCGTCGAACCGTGCTATTGATGATTAAGTAATATCCACAACATCTCAAAAAACTTTCTCATTATTTCAAGGAATTAATGTTAATGTGACGAGTCCAAGAGCATGGCATGTGCAGTTCCGCGAAACCAAGGCAATTTTTAGTGATTATCTAAGAGTCAGATATTGATTTTTCTTATCGTCACCGAAGATATTTGAAATTAATCGAGGGAACGCACCGCTTGTATAGACTGGTAAGTAATTGCGAGTGAATGCTAGAGAAATTAAAATGTTACGACACAGTATGTTTTCATTTCATGTTTTTTTAAATCGACAAGCGTTTTGCCGATGGCTAGGCGGCGGGCTATCCTCTCACATCACGTGCGCTCTTTCCGGTGATAATCTTTCACATGTGGATGTGATGTCTAGTTTTTGATTCTATTGAATTTTCATGCTTTGAATGAATCAAAGCCGCAAACATTATATCCATTTTTTTCAATGTTTATTCATTATAAAGAAAATCTGGAGATTTTTCAAATTTACAGGATTTAATATTATTATAAACGAGATAATGAAAAATCAATTGAGTTTCTGTATTAATTACAAAAATTAATATGATAATGAGAGAAATCAATGAAATCAATTTCTGGCAAAAATTATGTATAGGGACATATATGTTACTAAAAAATGGAGAATTGCATTTAGACCTTGAAAAATGAATTTCTGAATGTCAGTTTTAGAATTTTTACTGGAGGAGAATATAAAAATCATCATGCACGTTGAAAAGAGGAAAGAAATTCAAGTGTTCATGGGAGAGAACGTGATAATTATTCAAGTCCTCTCGAGAGAGTAGTAGTTTTCATTGCGCAGTTAAATTTAAAGTAGCTTTCTCTCTCTCTCTCTCTCTTAGTTTTTTTTCCATTATTAATATCCTTCAAGAGATAATTCTCATGTTCATGACCTCTATAATTAATTTTAACAATTTCAATGACTCGGATTGTAAGGGTAGAGCTACTTTAATCCTCTTACATAATAACTTTTCTAAATGTTAAGAATTGAATACCAGTCGAATAGCATATTTGTCTTGGACAAAATGGAACGCATCATGTTTGCATATAGAAAAGTGAATCCACCACACTGATGTGAATGAATTATCAGTTTTTCAGTTTTTCAGTTTTTTTTTGTTTTGTTTCAGAAATTGAAATTTTCAAAGACACACAGCGGTCATGTATCGTCCGCTCCAATGGTACGTGATTGTTTCCCTGCTGTCGTCTTCAACAATGGCTTTCCGATGCCCCGAAGGCATGGGCTGCGGTCCCTGCCAACAACTTCCCAACAACGTCTACGAGATTAACTGTGAAACAAGTGATTCAAACTCGGAATTCAACATTCGCTTCAAACCGGAGGAATGGGTTAGGATAGAGTGCTACAATTCTCCGAATTGGACCGAGTTTCACCTCGGAACAATCCAGCAGATTTTGCACGTCAAGTCGATATCCTTCAGAAAATGTGAATTGCCGGAGCGGGAGAATCTAGGCGTTATTGCAAAACAAATTGTCGCCAATCATATTGAAGATCTCATGTTCCAATCAATCGGCGATTTGACATTGTCATTGACGAGAAATACCCTGTCACAATTCAAAAACGTGAGAAGACTGACTTTGTCCAGCAATGGTTTAAAAAACGTCACTGCCGATCTTCTGCAAGATCTGAAGAATCTAACAGTCCTCAATCTCCATCAGAATAATCTCCGTGGATTACCTCGTGACTTCCTCAATCTACCCAATCTCAAGTCCATAGAACTAGGTGGCAATAATCTACAAATCATCGAGCCCACAGCATTCGATAAATCAACCAAGCTGGAGCTCTTGAATATTTGGAATAATAAAATTGTGGAAATAAAACCCAAGAGTTTCGATAAACTCGAGTCTCTCGTATCCCTTGATCTCCATTTGAATAAATTGACTCAACTGCCGGAAAATATTTTCGCTAAATTGCCGAATCTCAGATTCATCAATTTGTCACAGAATAATTTCACTGGTGATTCACTCCCAGCAAATTTATTGAGGTATAATAGTCTTCTGGAGGCTGTGACTCTCTTCGAGAACAAACGAAATTTGACGACTTTGCCTTCCAAGTTGTTTGCCAATTTGAAGAAACTCACGATTGTTAAGATGAGGAGAAATGGACTAATTCGATTGCCAGAGGATTTATTCGTGGGTGCTAGTAGTCTGAGGAATTTGAGTATGGAGAGGAATTACATTGAAACAATACCGCGTAATATTTTCAACGACTGTGAGAATCTTTCCACTATTGATCTGAGCTTCAATGAAATAAGGGAATTGCCGGAGGGAGTCTTTTCCATGCTCAAGAAATTGGAAATCCTCGATTTGTCGAGGAATCATATCACGATCATTAGCCAGTGAGTAAAATTATTCAATTATCATTTTGTCAACTATTTACATGTTTGTGTAAAACAGTTGTAATTTGCTATCATTAATTTCCAGAGATATGTTTACAGGCTTGTCATCCCTCAAAGTCCTAAACCTAGAAAATAACGGTTTGAAGATAATTCACCCCCGTGGACTGAGTGCACTTGAGAATCTACGAATTGTCAAGTTCTCTTTCAATCAGCTCACCCTAAAGACGACCACCCCCAATATGAGGTTTGACGATGAATTCGGCCCCAATTCACCGTTCCACAATTGCATGGAGACGATAGAAGAGCTGCATCTGGCCCACAATAACATTTCGGATATCTATGGAGATTGGATCCTGGCGACAGGATTGAGGACCCTCGACCTTAGTCACAATAATTTGACATTGTTACAGGTAATTGCTTTACAAGACAACACAAGTTTTTTTTTTACAGAATCGAATTGAATTTTTTTCAAGCATATTCAAGTATCTTTCACAGTTTTGAAAATGTACCTATTTTATTATAATTTCACTGGAGAGAAAAAATGATAATAATAAAAAGAGACTTACTCTCGATGGATATTCTTAATATAGATGTCCACAATTGCCCTTCCGAATTCTTCACCGGTTTAATTTATTTTTACAGGAGGTAGATTTTCAATTTCTATCTGGAGATATCGAGGTCGATCTCTCCTCAAATAAGATCGAGCGAGTACTTATGCACACAGCCGAGAAATTCTCACAGATAGCGACACACCAAAAAAACGTCATGATATCAATAGAGGACAATCCAATCAACTGTGACTGCCATGTCCACGATCTCCTCCGTTATCGTGAGGGAAGAATGCACCCAAGTGTCCACTATCAGTTTTTCCTAAAGATGGATAATTTGATATGCCACAAGCCAGCTAGCCTTGAGAACACGGCCCTGGATGAGCTGGAGTCAAAATCACTCAAGTGCTTGGTAGATCAGCCAATGATTTACGACGCCCTCTGTCCAGATGAGTGCACCTGCTGGATGAGACCAGAGGATCGAGCCTATCTAATTGATTGCTCCTACAGACATCTGCAAATGGCGCCGAGAATGCTCAAGAGTCCCCCGGGACTTCACATTGAGCTGAATCTAACGGGCAATTACCTGACGTCAGTGCCCTCAATGAGCCAGTCAGGATACAGTGCAGTGACAGTTGTCGATCTATCGGTAAATAAAATAACTCAACTGCCTCTCGATGGACTATCGAAGAACCTCGAAGTACTATTCCTGGACTCGAATGAGCTGAGGAGATTGGACACTCAAGTCCTGGACTTGTTATCCAATTCGACCAAGCTAAAGAATCTGACTCTTGATGGAAATCCCTGGTCCGCCGACTGCGACTCCAGGCAATTCCTCAGCTTTGTTCAGAGCAAGATGGTAATGATCCCAGAGCTGCAGAAAGTCACCTTTCAATCATCTGACTCACCGGTCTTTGAGATGACCCCAGAGGAGCTTTGTCCCCCCTCATTTGTCATCGGTTGGATGATAATTGGGATTTGCATTGGTGTTGCAGTGCTGGGGGTGATTGTCGGTGCTATAGCAGCTATTTATTATCGCTATCAACATGAGTTGAAAGTCTGGCTGTATGCTAGACGGTGGTGTTTATGGTTTGTCAGTGAGGATGAGCTGGATAAGGATAAATTGTACGATGCATTCGTAAGTTATTCACACAAGGACGAGGACTTTGTGGTGAATAATTTGATAATGAAATTGGAGGCTGGACCTGAGCCATTTAAACTGTGCCTACATTATCGTGATTGGAAGGCTGGTGAATGGATACCAGCGCAAATAGCTCATTCTGTTGATGAATCGAGACGTACAATCGTTGTTTTATCTCCAAATTTTTTGCAAAGTGTATGGGGTAAAATGGAATTCAGAACAGCTCATACGCAGGCACTGAGTGAGGGTAGGGCCAGGGTTATTGTTATAATTTATGGTGATATTGGACCTGTTGATCAACTTGAGCCTGAACTCAAGGCTTATTTAAGTATGAATACTTATATCAAGTGGGGGGATCCATGGTTCTGGGATAAATTGAGATATGCTCTACCTCATCCTGAAGATCTCGTCAGGAGCAAAAAGAAGAAGCTAACAGTGTTCGAGAGACAACAGCCTGTCATTGAGATTATTAGTGAAAAGGGGGGTTCCATTGACAAGACTAAATCCAAAGTCTTGGTGTGATGATTGGGCCTTAGTTTTCCAGCTTTATTCTCTCTCTCTCTCTCTCTCTCTCTCTCTCTCTCTCTCTCTTTTTTGAACATGTCGACTGATAAGGCAGGAAATTGAACAATTTAAGTGATACGAGGGGTAATCTAGATTATCACAGACTTTAATCATTCCTGCTTTACTCAATTACTCAATCTACCTGGTTTCCTGTGGTGTCCATGCCACAGTAAGTATATGTAATCTAAGCCATGACACTGTGATATGTTTCTTTGTTTTTTATCATTCATTTATGACAACATTAGTAATTCACATTTTGTATGGTTTTGAATAAATGTAATGTAAGGAATTCTCGCATATTATTTATTCATTATTATTTTCAATTTTGTATATTTCTTAAATTATTATTATTATTACTATTATATTGAAAAATGCTTGATTTTGTGCCAATTCCATGATCCTCATCAAAATTGATCGTCTAACCTGGGTAACATAGACGCAAACATGCTGTAACGCTCTCGATATTTTAAAAATCTTGTAATTGCTCAATTTCTTTTTTTTTTTTTTGGCGCCCCACCAATGACGCGCAAAAAGCTACACGAGAATCGTCGGAGTCCCCCGACGACTCTCGATCCTGTTGAGACGCGTCGTTGCCCGCCGGCTGCCGGCTGCCGGTTGCCGGCTGCCCCTCAGCATTCTCCCTGCCTGCCTGCCTGCCTGCCATAAATCCTCGGGTCTTCGGCGAGTCGAGGAGTGATTTGCAGCGTCGTGGGTCAAGAGGATTCATTGAGAATTTTCTGGTGAGTTTTTTACAAAAAATATATTCGCGACATGTTCATAGTTTTAGAATAAAAAAAAAACGTGTACAAGTGCGTATTTCCGGGTGAATTCTACGATTTTTTCAAATTTGTGCGTGCAATCTCTGTCATTTAATTCTTTTCTGCAAAAATTTCCATCTTTTTTTCGCTATAAAAAAATTGTTTTACTTTAAATTGATCATTGAAGATGAGGGATCAGTGAAGGAAAATTCTTATTTGTTTTAGTTTTTTCGCGAGTAAAAATATCCCGGAAAAATCAGGGGCACGTGGCATTCTTTTCTTTGTCTTCGCACTTTTCACTCAGTTTTTGGTGAATTTAAAATTAATAACACAAATGCTGGAAAAAGCAATTCAATTATTCTTTGCATCGAACAACGTTTTTTCGTTTTTAAATTTACATTCTTCCATTACTTTCGTACTTGTTCGAGTCCAACACTGATGTTGACAGTGTTTGAGATTAATCTTTGAAAATATTCTCTTTCGACAATTTTTTTTATGTCCGGACGAACTGTGACTGAGAAATACCAACAGTGCTTCCCCATTTCTACTTGAGGTTGTCGAAAGAATTTGTAAACATCTCGAATAAAATGTATATTCTGTGGTTTACCACAGTAGTGGGATGAAAATATATAGAGTACATTATCTTTAATTCTTTCATTCCATGGATCATCAATTGGAACTTTTATCCGTCATATATTCACAAATACCTTCAAGTACTATTTATTAATAATTGATCGTTTACCAAAAAATGATTCGTCATTTTTTCACTTTTTGCAAGCAGAAAATTTTGGAAAATTCATGACTTTTTGAAATGAATAGAAAATGTAATTTGTTCACAAGAAGATTGCAATTTCTCATGTTTTTTTCCAATAGAGAATAAAATTCACGCCTTCAAAATTGGAACAAATAAAGAATTGAAAAATTTTCAACAAATTTGCCAAAGTTCGCAAAAAGCCAAAGAATTTTCATCAAAATTGACAGCTTCGCATAATGAAAAAACTCCAATATCCTTCACGTTTCTAAATACATAATATAATACAAACACATTATATCACACTCGCAAGCTGCTTGTTTATAGTCTACCCAGCGTTCCGAGAAATTCATAAGATGCGTCCGAGGCCCCGTAAGTCGTATTGAGAGGGAGAACAAAGGAAAAATATTCTACCTTCTGTCGTCCGATTTATCTTTCTCCAAAACACTGAGAAAATATTTTTCAGTGAAATCGATTGTTGAGATTACAATTCCACACAAAAGTCCCTGTGAAATTGTAATTGAACACATGAGTGTTGGCATTTTTCCGGGAGTAATTGAAATATTTTTCCGTTGAAAAAATATGGCGGTGGGTAATTGAGACGTAGACACCACGCAATTTCTTGGAAGTGGAGCAGAAAAAAACATTTTTTAATGTGAAATAGTCTCATAATTCTAGCTATTAAGTTGAACTAAATTTGTTTATTTGTTTGATTCGTCTATTAATTTTTCATCGAATTGTATTCAATTCTCTTTTGTTTGTTAAGCATGCTTCATGAAACTGTATGAAAACCGCCGTACATTTTCCATTCGTTTGAGATTCTGACATGCTCGTGTTTGCATTTCCGATTCGAGATATTTTCCATGTTTTTTTTTTTTATTATTAGAAAAAGAATTTCGAATTATAGGAGAAAACAGCATGTCAGAGAGACCAGCAGCGGGAAGGAGTGCGGGGCGAACCAGGGGGGCACCAACGCAAGCCCCCGCGTTGCAAGGTGCCTGGGGCCAACGCCAGGCTGCTGCATCGGTAAGGGAAAAGTCGTCCACCCTTATTCCTAATAGGATAATGAAATATCTCATTATCATCATCATTAGGCCGAAAAAAACTTTCTTGTCATGACGGCTGTAAGCAGTGACTTACGGAAGCGGCACTTATGCCTTACGGCCGGAATGACAAAAAAAAATTGACAATGCTAAATGAAACAGCATCGAAACAAAACAACTAAGTAAAACAAAAGAAAACTCATCCAGGGAACCATTAGTTTCTTCAGTGAAATCGTAAATCATGAAACCTTTTCAACTATTCATCGTTTATTTTTAAGTGATCAAATAGTCTCATCGAATAGTTGACAAACGTTAATCAAGACAATTTAGAGACAAGGTAATCTCTTTAAATCTCTAAAAGTATACTCCCCAATTTTTGACATATGGAGACGTTCCGTGATTAATAAAATTCATCATCTTTTTTGTAGAACAAATTGAGAGCTACAAGTCATTTCCCTCAGATTTTGATTGAGATATTCCTCGAAAATTCAACTAAGAGCTAGAGCTCTGACATTTAAAAATTGATGAAATTTGTGTAGTTGAAAAAAGAAAAAAAACATCTCTTCACCATTAAAACTATTATAATAAAGCTTCCATGCGGAAGCAAAAATACAAAGATTTATCTGTCAAAGCCAAAATAAATATTAACCAATGAATATGTTTGACAGTCTGTTGGACGTTCAGTGAGAGCGCCAACCCCTCAACAAGCGTATCAACCTCAGGGTGATGAAGGAGTTTTGCCGCCCCTTCCCCCAGTCGAACAAGTAGGACCTGGTGGTGACGCTGGAGGTGGTGCAGGAAGAGGCGCAATGAGGGGAAGATCGGTAATTCACGCTGAGATCCTCATGACTCGTCCCGAGGGAATTACCAACAAGAAGGGAACCACTGGAAAGCCTCTCCAACTCACAGCCAATTATTTCAAGATAAAAACAAAGGCTGATTGGTGTCTGTATCAGTACAGAGTGGATTTTGCACCTGAGGAGGATCGTACAGCTGTCAGGAAAGGACTCCTTCGTCTCCACAAGGAGAGACTTGGATCCTATATTTTTGATGGAACTGTCATGTACACTGCCAACAGATTGATGGCTCCTAATGAACCGTCACTGGAGCTATTTGCTGAACGTAGAGGAGATGGGGAAAGGGTTCGTATTACAGTCAGACTTGTTGGGGACATGGTAAAAGGTGATCCTCATTATCTCCAGTTTTACAATATTTTGGCCAGGAGATCTCTGGAGCATCTCCAGCTGCAGCTCGTTGGAAGGAATTACTTCGATCCACATGAAAGTGTCGTTGTCAGAGAGCACAGATTTGAGCTGTGGCCTGGCTACATAACTTCAATTCGTCAACACGAGCATGATGTTTTGATGTGCGCAGAAATTAATCACAAAGTCATGAGGCAGGAGAATCTTCTCGATATTTTAGGACGATTGACTCAGGAGAACGGTAGCAACTATCAACACGCTTATAAAGCTGAAGTTGTGGGACTCACTGTTCTCACTGATTACAATAATAATACGTATCGTATCGATGATGTAGACTTCAGTGCAAGCCCCAGGTCCACTTTTCATCTGAGGAAGGAGGACAGAGATGTCAGTTACAAGGATTACTACAGCGTCAAGTACAATATTACCATTCGTAATGAAACACAGCCACTGCTAGTGACTCGCTCCTCTGGTCGTGATCGTCGTGCTGGACAGTCTGAGATTGTTTATCTCGTTCCTGAGTTGTGCAGAGCTACAGGACTCACTGATCGCATGAGGAATGACTTCCGCCTGATGTCTGCAATGGCCACACACACCAGAGTTACCCCCGACAAGAGAATCGAGAAGCTGTTGGCGTTCAATAGGAGATTGAACACTGAGCCATTGGTGCAAGATGAGTATAAGAACTGGAATCTATCCCTAGATCGTGATCTTGTCAGAGTCCCTGGTAGATTGTTGACAGACGAGAAGATCTTCTTCGGTGATGAGAAACAAGTGAACGCAGGCGAGCAGGGAGACTGGACCAAAGCTATTCGAGACAATTCCCTCCTTCTGACAACTCCCCTGAGGCAGTGGGTAGTTATCGTGCCAGAGAGAAATTCCAGGGATGCAAGAGTGAGTGCTTGAATTTTTTTTTCTTATCAAGCCCCCCCCCCCCCCCCT